TGCAAAACAAGCGTTTCGCTCGAGACATCCTAAAAAAAACTGAAAAACAAGCGTTTCGCTAGGGGTGCGGCTGAGGGTTAAGGGTTTCTTTTCTTAGGAGAACACCACGGGGATGCACCGCGTGGCGTGCGAATGCCTCCTCAGCGGCTCTCGCCGCTTCGTCGGTGCGTCGCACGCCGTATGGGCAGGCTCGCTGAGCGCTCGGCCGGGCGCCACAGGCTACGGACGTTGCACCGCCCGTGGCTTGCAGTTTAGGGTTTAGGGTGTCCTCTGTCAGCGTTTGCTGATCATCATTCGTGTAAGACCACCCCCACCCATAAAATGGAGTGGGGGTGGGTAGTTGTGTTGAAGTGATATCATGTAGAGCGGAATCATGCTTCGGCTACGGGGCCAGCTCCCTTTTCACATTCCCACCCCGCGCCCGTTAGGGCGGCGAACCACCCGCGGCTTTCTCTATTAGGGTTTACGGTTCATTCGGTAATCGGGGTTCTATTTCTTTTAGGGCTCCACGACTCCAAACGGTTTGGCGATCTTGCTCATGGGTTTGACATACAGTGCTTTGTGTATCACACGCACACAGATACCCTCCCAGGTCTGAAGGTATGCGCAATCCTGGGTTTAGGGTTGACGCTTCACGTCGGGGGAAAGAGTTTGGGGTGGAACGCCGCGCGAGCGTTTGATTGTGCGCTTGTGGCGCCAGCTCTGCTCGCTTCGCTCGCTCCGCCGATGCCGCTCCTCTTGAACTAGGAAATCCAGCTGGCGCGCCCGGGAGCGACCTGGGCCCTGGGAGGGCCTTGGAGGGCTCTGACAGCTTTGGAATCGCTACGGAGCATCCCTGGGGCGCCCAGGCGCGCCCTGGGCCATGGGCGGCTGCCAATTCACCGTGACGTGCGCCTGGGGTGCTTTGCGAGGGCCCTGGGAGGGCCCTGGCAGCTCTGGAATCGCCACGAAGCGGTTCTGGCGCGCCCAGGGGGCGGCTGCGAATTCACCGAAACGTGCGCCTGGGGTGCCTTTGGGAGGCCCTGGGAGAGCACTGGGAGACCCCTGGGAGGGCCCTGGGTGCTTTGGAATCGCCACGGAGCGCCCCTGGCGCGCCCAGGAGCGCCCTGGGCCTTGGGCGCTTGCCAATTCACCGTGACGTGCGCCTGGCGTGCACTGGGAGGGCCCTGAGAGTGCTCTGGGAGCTTTGGAATCGCCACGGAGCGTCCCTGGCGCGCCCAAGGGCGCCCTGGGCCCTGAGCGGGTGCAAATTCACCGTGGCGTGCGCCTGGGTTGCTCTGGGAGAGCCCTGGGCAGGCCCTGGGAGCTCTGGAATCGCCACGTCCTTGGCGCGCTCAGGAGCGCCCTGGGCTTTGGGCGCCTGCCAATTCACCGTGACGTGCGTTCCTGGCGCGCCCAGGGGCGCCCTCGGCCTTGGGCGGCTGCAATTCACCGTAACGTGCGCCTGGGATGCCCTGGGAGGGCTCTAAGAAGGTCTTGGGAAGCGCTTCAGAGGCGCTCCCAAGCGCTCCCAGGCGCTCCCAAGCGTTCCCAAACGCTCCCAGGCGCTCCCAGGCGCTCCCAGGCGCTCCAGAAGCGCCCCCGGGCGCCGCTCCCGCGCGCTCCCAAGCGCTCCCACCCAGGCGCTCCCAGGCGCTCCCAGGCGCTCCGAGGCGCTCCGAGGCGCTCCCAGGCGCTCCCAGGCGCTGCCAAGCGCTCCCCGGCGATCCCAGGCGCGCTCCCAAGCGCTTCCAGGTGCTCCCAAGCGCTCCCGGGCGCCCCCAATCGCCACGGAACGACCCTGGGGAGCCCAGGAGCGCCCTGGGGCATGGGCGGCGGCTAATTCACCGTGAGGGGCGCTTGGTGCTCCCAGGAGCTCCGGAATGGCTCTCGAATCGCCGCCGCGGAACGTCCCGGAGGAGTGCCCTCCGAATCGCCACGGGACGTCCCAGGGGAGCCTCCCAGGCGCTCCGGAAGCGCGCCCGGGCGCCGCTCCCGCGCGCTCCCAAGCGCTTCCAGGCGCTCCCAGGCGCTCCCAGGCGCTCCCAGGCGCTCCGAGGCGCTCCCAGGTGCTCCCAGGCGCTGCCAAGCGCTCCCCGGCGATCCCACGCGCGGTCCCAAGCGCTTCCAGGTGCTCCCGAGCGCTCCCAGGCGCCCCCAATCGCCACGGAACGACCCTGGGGAGCCCAGGAACGCCCTGGGGCATGGGCGGCGGCTAATTCACCGTGAGGAGCGCTTGGTGCACCGCTGGGGCCATTCTGCTACCTTCGGGGCCCCTCGGGGGTCGAGGGGCTTCCTAGCCCCCACGCCCCGAGAGCCAGCGGACTATGCGAGTGCACGAACGACTCCTCTCTTCTCTACCGAGCGCCCCATTTTCAATCAACAACGCCCATTCGAGAAACTCTTCCGGGAGAGAAGGGGCTGGCAGGCGCGGCGCTCATCCGCCGCGCTCACCTGGTGGACGCTGAACTACTGGTGCGAGTTGCGAGCCGCGCGGGTGCCCACATGGAGACGCGCGGAAACGCCTGGCGACCTCGGGAACGCCTGCGGTCGCAAGCGCCTGGCGGCGTCTGGGCAACCTTGACAATTCTTCGAAAAGCTCGGGGAACAGTCGGGGCCGCGCTAGGAAACGCCTCGTTGCAAGGACTACGTGTGCTTTCACGGATCCCATATAGATCCAAAATGGGCCCCAATGCACTTCCGAACTACATGTTCAACATATCCCACACGATGACATGAACAACCAACTCGGAACTTCTCTTTCAATGGAGTCGTATGGGATAGAATGAGTATGTGGATGGGAAGCGCGTTGGGATCTGCTTGAGATCTATATGGGATCTGCGAACGTACTGTCAACCAGCGCGCCTGGGGCCCAAGAGCAACCAGCAAAGAGCTCCGACCGCCCGCCGACCCGCTGGGCAGGGCGCCGCCGTCGCCTGAGATCGACGTGGCGGAAAGGCGGCCGCGTCGGCCTCGAGTCGACCTGGAGGGCTCCGCAAAGATGGACTGCACAAGTCGGTGGACCCAACCAGTGGCGCCCAGGGGGGCGCGACTAGGACATCTGAACCAGTTCAAATAAAACTCGCGACGGAGGCTTCCGAACCGAGCTGGCCAAGCGAGCGACGGTGACCGCCCTTCGTAGACCGCCCCGTCGCGATGACCCCAGGGCGCGCCCGCGACCCGACGTGACCCGCGACCTGCCGCGGGAGTTGCGACAAGGAAGCATCGCGCATCGCGCCCCGCGATGCGCGATCTTCGAGCCCTCGTGCCCCCGTGAAGCCCCCCTTGGAGGAGTGCAATCTCTCCCGCCCAGGCCGCGAAGCCGGAAGCACGATTATCTTCGCGCCCCTGGGGGTGACCTAAGTTTCCAGGCGCTTCTGGCGGGTTCTCGGCCGCGTCTGGGCCTCTAGGCGCCTTGAGAGCTCAGCTGTCAGCGCTGCCTGCAAGCCAAATCTTGCGTTCTTCTGCAGCCGACGGATGCGAGCCAGCGTGCACGGAGTGAAGCAGCACTAATACCTAATACAATCAAATTTCCTATACGTGGAAAATGATGTATAACTACGTTTGTCCCGAGCGGCCTGGCTTGTTAGCGGGCGTCCCAAACTGGCCCAAGAGGGGCCCAGGAGGGCCCCAGACGGACCCAGCCAGCTCCAAGACGACTCCAAGACGTATAAACAGCCCCAGGACGGCCCCAGCGAGCACCTATACAGGCCAAGAGGGCGCCTGAAGGAGGCCGAGAAGCCCGCAAATACCTCTAGAGGAAAGGCTTTGAATACTTTTTGCTCCCCCCCACCCCCCGCGTGTGTTCAATTGAAGAGCAGCCAGAAAGATTTCTGGAGGGGAAGAGAGCAAGGGTCATGACCAAGACTGAACGCGCAAACGTCGTGTCGATCTTGGTGACAGTCCATCTTGGTCATCATCAATTCCCGGGACCATCCTCGCGAATCGGCGACGGCCGGCATGGACCATAGCCAAGATCGGCGTCGACAAAACCCGCGACGCCTTGGTCATGGCCAGCGCCATGGAGGCTCTCCAGAGGGTCCCCAGACGGCTCCTCCTCCTCCTCCGACAAAGCCCCGCGACACCCTGGTTAGAGCCCGCGCTTTTTCTCCCCTCGAGACCCCTGGCAGGCCCCCACCCTCCGCGAGAGCCCGCGTGCCGGCCGCGCGGGCTCCCGAGCCCCAGGACGGCCCACACACGAGCCTCCGCAGGCGCCTCCAAGCAGACGCTCCCGGCAGGCCCCACGGCAGCGCGAGGAGGGCGCGCAGCTGCCGCCGCGGTGCGGACGGCAGGAGCGCCGAATCGGACGCGAAGGGGCTCTCCTGGCCACGTCGAGCCTCGGCCTCGAATCTCGTTTCCCCGACCTGGATCTGGGGCACGGTCCGAAGCCCAGAGCCCCTCCGGAGCCCCCAGTGGCCCTCATGTCAGCTCGACTGTGCCGAAGAGGGCGCTTCGCCGCAGGCGTAGTCGATATTCCCCGGCGCATCCCGGCGCCGCAGAAGTCCCTGGCCGCTCTCGTGCGCACGCGGGCATCGCCGCGCGACTTCTCGGAGGCCCCAGTGGGCGCTCTTGCCTCTGGGGCTGTCTCGGAGGCCCTGGGGGCCAGCCCGAGTACGAGTATATGTGCAGTCTCAGGAGCGTCCAAGACGGCCCAAGAGGCCCCTTCGAGAGCATCACGAGGGCCCCAAAGGCCTCCCAAAGGTACCCAAGATGGAAGTCCGGTTGCCATTCGGAGCCTCCCACCCCAAGAGGGCCCACAGAGGCCTGCAAGAAGCTATGGAAGAGGTTCCCCCAAACATCCGATAGCCTTGTCCACAACCCAGGCACGATGGCGAGATAGGCCGAAACCCACGAGACAGAGCGATAGCGATACATGTATATATATATATATAGAGAGAGAGAGAGAGAGAGAGAGAGAAAGAGAGAGAGAGAGGAAGACGAAAACAACACAAATAGAGAGAGAGAAAAATAAAACAAACGTGCGTACTATGTACGTGGCTTGCGCAGCTGGCAAGCCGAAGGCGGATTGTAGCAGACGGGATGAAACTGATGGAACGCATCGGCGACGAATAGGACAGCTCAATGATGATAATAATGTGGATGCAGCCTGCGCTAGTCTTCCCGAAATCAAATCTTCGGCGACAGATCATATAAAAGATTAACTTTGACGATTGTGACGGGTTTGTTGGATGCGCCAGTGTTCGTGAGAACTCCATGCAACACTCAGCAACACTCAGTATGAACCATTCGTGGGCCTCCACGCAGTCGCCCTGAAACGTAAAGCACATGGACAAGCAACATATCAACTATTTTAGCGACGTCAATGACTGGGCTATGCGTCTCACACTTTCACGCTGCATGCAAAACGGAAAAAGCTCTTCAATGGCGCTTGCATACTCTAGGAAAGCCGCGCAATGTCATGACGGGATGAGGAGCAACGACAGGCCGAAACAGAAGCAGAGCAACTGGCACCTGCGAGTGCAGGCACTCCGTTTGGTATATGAACCGACGAGAAAGGAGAGGTCGCGCGCGAGAGAAGGAGCGCGAACGAGAGAGACAGAGAAATATAAGCCCACACGGACACAACACATCGCACACACGTATGTATCTGTACACATGTGCATTTACATGTGCAGGCGTGTGTATATCTTTTCACCTGTAAATAGTCACAGTGGAGAGATAGAACGAGAGGTCTATTACTAGGTCTGTAAATGTATATACATGTATATATATATATATATATATATATATACATATACATATATGTACATCGGATGTTGGGGGGTAACGTGAAACGGAGACCCCCCTTCCGGGAAATCGATTTCGGTTTCGGGTTCGTGTCGTCCGTGCCATGCGTGCGTGCGGGCGAGGCGAAGCTGCTTGGGCGGGCGAGGAGAAATCCTCCTGTGGCTGAACCGCGGCCGGACCAAATGTTTCTCCTCCCGCGGCCGGTGGCGTGGTATCCCGCCGGAGTCGCGCTGGTGTCCCGAAATCCTCCTGTGGCTGGGCCGCGGCCGGACCAAATGTTCAAATGTTTCTCCTCCGGCGGCCGGTGGCCCGCGGTGTCCTGCCGGTGTCCCGTGGTGTCCGGTTGAGTGAGATCGATCGTGAGATCGATACTGAGATCGATGCGGTGCCCCGAGGTGTCCCGTGGTGTCCCGCTGCGTCCCGTTGAGTGAGATCGAGAGTGATATCGATAGTGAGATCGATAGTGAAATCGACAGGTATCCCGTGGTGTCCCGTGATGTCCCGTTGAGTGAGATCGATAGTGAGATCGATACTGAAATCGATGTGGTACCTCGAGGTGTCCCGTGGTGTCCCGCTGCGTCCCGCTGAGTGAGATCGAGAGTGAGATCGATAGTGAGATCGACAGGTGTGCCAAGGTGTCCCGTTGAGTGAGATCGATAGGGAGATCGATCGTGAGATCGATAGTGAGATCGATGTGGTGTCCCAAAGTGTCCCGTGGTGTCCCGTGGTGTCCCGCTGAATGAGATTGATCGTGAGATCGATAGTGAGACCGATCTTGAGATCGAGAGGTGTCCCGCGATGTCCCGTGGTGTCCCGTGGTGGCTCGTGGTGTCCCGTGGTGTCCCGTTGAGTGAGATCGATAGTGAGATCGACAAGTGTCCCATGGTGTCCCGTGTTGTCCCGTTGAGTGAGATCGATAGTGAGATCGATTGAGTCAGATGTCCTCCTTATAACTCGAAGGGTGGTCGTACAGGTATATAGTTATGCATGTATGTCTGTATGTGTAGCAATATCGAGGCTTTTCCTTTCAACCCTCGAAGCCAAAGGACCTGCAGTGCTTGCTCCCTCTCTGCCCTAACATGCTGACTCCTGCACACGGGGGTCCCTGACCCCAGCAAATACAATCTACAACACGCCCCCTTGGAAGCTTGGCTACCCACTGAGTCGAGCTTTCAACTGACTCCCGAAAACTTGTCAAGGTGGGGCGTCCCCCAAAAGACCTGCTGAGGCGTCCCTCAGGCTAAAGAAACGAACACTGAAACTCTGCCCAACAAAGAACTCAAACTTTGCTGGCTGGTCAGCAAGCTCAACTCAACTTCCAAGGGAAAGAAATAACTCGAAACTCTGATATTAAGCATGATGGCAAGAGGAGAAAAGAAGAGAAAACATAACGGCTCAAGGCAAGGCGCAGCCGCTCAAGGTCCTATCGACTGAGCCTCATTCACTGTCAGTTCAAAAGAAGTCCCTTGGCCTTGTCCACACGCACTTCAAGGAAGGCACCGTGCGCGTGGCCCTGGACTGGTTGGAATCGAGGGACCGCCCACTTCCACTTGTAGGTCATCTGGGACTGCGTGCTCACGTTCCTGGTAGGCTGACTCGGTCGCATCATAACCAGTGAGGCTGGCACGCCTGGAAGCGGATCCTCCATCTTGTCTGTGTGGGTGGTCTCCTCTGTCATCTCATTGGGCTCGGGCGAGACCAGGAGCCAGTCCGAGTCCCGCATGCTGGCGTAGCGGAACCCCGCGTAGCCGCTGATGGCCGCCACGATCAGTGTCCAGACAGCCACCATCATCAGGAAACCTGTCCAGTCGCTCGTGGCCATGCCATCCCTGGAGCAGACCTCCGTGTCGTAGTAGTAGCTGCTCTGGTCGGCGACCTGGCCCTCGCAGCCCTGCAGGAGCGTCGCCGCCGCCGTGATCATAGCCAGGGCCGCCGAGCGACTAGCACCGAGTGAGCTCGTAGAAGCTCTCGAGCTCCTGACCCGTGCTGCCGCCCCCACGTCGAAGTCCACCTCCTCCGACTGATGGTCACTCTCCGCGACCCGGCCTATGTCCGTGTAGATGCCGTTGAGCGTCCTGAGCTTGACGAAGCGATCGTGTCCAAGGATCTTCGTGCCCAGGTCCGCTTTGTTGTCGTCGGTGCCGACAGTCCCGAGGTCCATCAGCTTCCTCTTGATCGCCTGCTGAAGCCAAAGAACTCGAGCCTCAAGACTCCGCACCTTACCAACTCCTTCACGTCGGGCAACGCCTCGCGCAGCTGACGAATCCGTCAGCAGGGTGGCTGCCACCGCGAAGCCCATGAACTCAAGAAGTGACTTGAAGTAGAGCAAGTCCTCGGCGACCGCCGTCGCCGCATAGTACTCAGCAACTCCCGAGCTAGTGGCCGCGATGCTCTGGCGCCTGCTGAACGAGTGCATGGGAACACCATCGATCTCGATCTTGCCGCTCGACTGGGACCTCCTCGTCTGCAAGTCGCCTGCCCAATCGCTGTCACCAAAGCCCACTAGCTCCACGTTCGCGCCCTCCGTCGGTCTCGGTAGCCAGTTCACCGCATTCCTCGTCCCAAGCAGGTATCTCACGAGCCTCTTGAGCGCAGTGAAGGCGCCGACGGTGGGGCCTGATAGCATCCTGCCCAGCAAGCTGACCTCGTACTGGCAGTCCGCCCTGTCCTGGACGTAGTACATCAGCGCCCCCACGCATGAGCGGTAGACGCCGGCCTGCTGCTGAGAGAGAGTAGGAGTGTTCCCCATGAGCGCCTTGTGTGCTGGCACTCCAGGAGTGGGAGCCGTGTTGGAGCCGCCGAGGTTGAGGGTCTCCACCACGTAGTCGAGGTACTTCGGGTTGGCCTGCAGCTCTGTGCCGTGCTCGTACCTCGTCCTCAGCCTCTTCAGGTGCTCGTAGGTGATGCCGTACTCGTGGATTTCCCCGCCGCTGAAGGTCACATGCTGCTTCAGCTCGTCGCGGAAGCCCTCCAGCGCCTCCTTGGATCCAGCCATGTGCAAGTCGTCCATGTGCAGCTCAACCACCACCTCCGTCTCAGGGTTGTAGAAGAACTGCGGCGCCACCTCGCATCTGGTCATCTGCATCTCGTCTGTGAGGATGCCCGCCATGTGCTCCACCCAGCCTGGCGCTGCCGTCCGTCTCCCAGGTAGTTGCTTCTTCAACTTCCAGTAGATCTCCGTGTCCTTGCCTTCCGCCCTGAGCATGTCCAAGTACTCCTGCGGGGGGTCAACCACCACGTCCTCGTACTCTGGGGCCTGGTAGAAGGCATCCGTCGCGTCGAGCGTCATCACCTCGAACCCGCGCTTGAGAGCCACAAAGTCGACCAACCTGTTGGAGATCGGAGCCGATCCAGGTGTGAACAGGTCGTCACGCCACTCCTGCCAGCGGAACTCGCGGCAGACGAACCGCACCTTGCGCTGCCACTCCTGCAACGCTGGCTTCCATCTCCATTGCTTCTCCCAGCGCGTGGTGATGTGCTTCATCCCATTCGCCTCCGACTTGGCGATGTCCTCGCCGACTCCATGGTCCAGGAGGCTCTGCAGGTGCTCCATGGTGAGCTTCTTGTCCAGCTCATCCTGCATGTCCACGTCAAACATGCCATCCGTCGGGTCCTCCACCTCATCCGAGACCTCCTCCCAGAACGCGTCAGGCGAGTCATCCACGTTGCCAACCTCCAGCGCGTGAACCGCTGCAACTCGTGCTCGCTTGCCTTCGGAGACCTCTGCTGCTGGCGAGACCCCACGTCTCGCTGCCTGCGAGGGCGCCGCCCCCATCGCCACATCCCTGGGCGCCGGCGGCTCTGGTGCTGGGGGCTGCGGCTGCTGAGCCGCTGCCGCTGCCGGCGGAGGTGGTTGCTGCGGTGCCTGAGGCTGAGCAGGCGCTGCTCCGCCCTCTGGCTGTCCTGCCTGCTGCGGCTGGGGAGCGTCAGGCTGAAGAGGTCCTTCTGCCCTCGGTAGCTCCGTCGCGATCTGCTGAGGCGCCCGCCTGCGTTTCGACCTCTCGGGGGCCGTCCTCGCAGCCCAAGGCAGCCCCGTCACCGTCATGAGGAGCTCCTTGTCAGCCTGCCTTCCCTCAGGGAGCCGTCGCACCGTCCGTGCGCGGTCAAGCCCCCGAGGCGTCATCACCGGGTGCTCCTGCGACTCGTCCGACCTGCCGACCCAGATCCCTTTGCCCCGCTGAGCCTCGCCTCGACGCAGACGCCGACCTCCAGTGAGACCTCGATGCGCAGGACGCGCAATCCGATACAGCACCGTCTCGCCGAAGTTGCAGATGTCGCCCTTGTACGGCGTGCCTGTCGCGATCTCGCGCGGGCTCTGACCTCCAGCTCGCCTCGAGAACCTCTCGTGAAGCCACCCGGCGTGACGCATCATCCACGCCCAGATTGGCATGGCCGCCGTCACCTTCGTGTCGTAGCGCTTCTCGAGGTCCAGCCTAAGAACCCTCGTCTGGCCCTCGACTATCTTCACCGCTGCCTCCGCTGGGTTCGACTGGCTGCTGTGCTTGGGGGTCAGCTCTGCCGTGACCTTGCCCGCGAGCTCGCTGACCACGCCGTCCATGATGGCCTTCGTCGCCTGCTCCGTGTCCGTCCTGAGCCTGCACTTGCCCGTCTCGAGCCTCTGCACGAAAGACTTGATGCCTGCAATGGCGCATGGTGAAGCTGCCTTTGACGCACACGGAATAACCTTCACCACTCCAGCGTCAGAGCTGAACGCCACCAGCATCGTCGCGTAGGTGTCCTCTACCCTGGTCAGGTCCCCTTCCTCGTCGGCTGTCTTGCAGAAGCCGAAGTCGTAGCGGATGAGTGGGTGCTTCTGCTCTGAGTCCTCGAGCCTGACCAGCGAGTGAGGTGCATCAGGAGCTTTGGCCCCGACACATTCCTCGCACCGCGGAGCAGCAGGGAGATGCGTGAGGCGATGCTGTCTCTCCTCCTCCGCGCTCGGGGCCTTCGGAACTGGAAGCTGCTTCGGCTCGACTGGATCGTGCTGAATCCCGAGCTGCTCCTTCACCGCCAGCTTGCGCAGCCTCTCCGCCTCCGAGCGCCCGGCAGCCGCCTCTGCCACAATGAGCCGCTCCCACAGCTCCAACTTCGCGCCGTAGATCGGCATGAACAGCTCCCTCAGCCTGTTCCTCATCGCGCCGACCGAGCTCTCCGCCGTGAGCACTGGTGCCGTCGCTGCCTGCTGCTGGTCCGCCGCGCCACAGCAGCGGTGGGCCGCTGGCGCAGGGCTCGCGGACACGATCGGGAGCCTAAGGCTGTTCCGCTCCAACTCGAGCTGCACGCTGCGGTGGCCCTTCGTCATGTAGAGCCCGTCCTCCATACTGAGGTTGAACCTGAAACCCTGCCTGAGCAGCTTGCCCATGCTCAGCAGGTCGTCATTCACATCTGCAACGAGGAAGTCTGCCGTCGCCTTGATGCCCTCCTGCATCGTCATCTCAACACCCCGTAGGCCCGCTGTGGGCAGCGGTCGCTGCTGCACATCGAAAAGCCTGGGAGCATCCGTCGCACTGTTGACTGGGGCCTCTGGGACGAACTTGTGCCTGCACAGGTGGTCGTCGCTGCCGCTGTCGATCAGGATGGAGCCTCCAACCTTCGCCACCTGGCCGCTCGTCGCCGCTGAGACCGCAAACACCCAGCCGTCGGGAACGCCGTCGTAGTAGCCCGACGCGGCACGGACCCCGCCTTCGGACTGCTGCTGTCCCGAGCTCGAGGCCGATCCATCTCCATGAACCGCGCGAGTGTTGCCAGTCTCCTTCTTGGCATCATCTGCCTTCTTCTTCCTGCAGTCGGCCCGCTTGTGGCCCCACTTGCCGCAGTAGCCACACTCGCCGTCGAAGTAGTCGGACTGGCCCTTGCCATGGCCCTGCTTGCCGTCGCGGTTCTTGGACTTCGTCTTCGAGTCCTTGCAGCCCTTCACATTATTGCCAGCCTTCCCTGACGTGTCCATCTTGCCTGTCTTGCCAGACTTCCCGTGCGACTTGCCGCCATGCGGTCCAACTCGAACTGCATCCACCTGCATCGGCACGACCCCGCCAGTGTCTGGGACGTGGGTGAACGTCCGCCCTTGATTGTAATAGCCCCTGATGTGACTCCGAGCCGCTGCGAACGTGAGCTTCACCTCCTCAGGCGCCTGCCGAAGGACCTCACGGTACGGCTCTGGCGCGTGCTCTAGCAGCACGCTGACTCGAACGTTGTCCGAGACCGCCTCGCCGCTCTGGTCCACGTACTCTGCGACGATGGCCTCCCACGCCGTGAGAGACTGAAAGAAGTCGATGCCCGACTCCCGATCCTTCGCCCATTTGTCCTGAAGGTTCAGGATGAAGCGCAGCATGGCCGTCCACCTGTTGCCCGACTTGCTCTCACACTCGATCTTGAGCTGCCGCCACGCCTCCAGGCCATTCTTCCTCGAGAGCTTGACCACACCCAGCGACTTGCCGTCGCACCACGTGATCAGCAGATGCCAGAGCCTCTGGCTGACCGCTCTCGCCTGGTCCCCCAGCTGGTCCGTTGCCAGTGGGTCGCGCCTGTTGGCCGCCTCCGTCATGAGGTCCTCCATGCCAAGCAGCGCGGTGTAGGCCTCGAACCTGAGGCTCCAGTCTGCCCATCTCTCGTCCGTACCGTCGAACCTCTGAAGCCTCATGTCGGTCCGAACGTCGACGACATCGATCGCCGCCATCTCTGCCAGCGCGAGCAGGACGCCTGGGCGCGGCGAGCGAGCTCAGCTCCCGTGGGCACAGGAACCGAACTCCGCTACCATGTAGCAATATCGAGGCTTTTCCTCTCAACCCTCGAAGCCAAAGGACCTGCAGTGCTTGCTCCCTCTCTGCCCTAACATGCTGACTCCTGCACACGGGGGTCCCTGACCCCAGCAAATACAATCTACAACAATATGTCTGTATGTATATGTATACGTGTATACGTGTATAGGTGTATACGTGTATACGTGTACACGTGTATGTGTATGTGTATATATATACATATGTATACATATACACAAGGCATCGCCATAATCGGCAACCTGCTTTACTGGACCCAGCAGTCTGCCACAACGGATGAGTAGGTGAACGGGCGGTGTCCTCACCAGAACCACGCCTATCATTCGTCTGGGCACCGTCAAGGCAGCCCAATCGCGAAGTCTGTTAATTGTTTCTGGCCTCGCTTTGGTTGCAAAGAACACCCTCTCTAAGACACTTCTGGAGGCGCAACATCCACAGCATCACTCCCACAACATCTCGATCCTCTAGCCTCGTCCTCCTCATCCTTCTCCTCATCAACCATCCATACCTCTGCCTGATAATTCATGCCTGTTCGTCGCCCGGCCTCACGTGTCAGCAAGGCGGACCGGGCGCTTCGCTGGATGATCCAACTGTGCGTGCTGAGCGTGGAGACGAGCTGCTTCAGCGACGTGTTTTCTACACCACCGAGGACACAGAAAAGTGATCGGACTCGCCATTGCCGTCGAGGTGTCCTCCACCTCCTCCCATATTCCGCCCGCCTCCTCGTCCTCCACCTCCGCCTCCATATCCAGTCCTCTTTCCCTCCTCCACCTCCTCGTCCTCCTCGTCCTCGACCTCCCCGACCTCTTCCCCCCCCGCCCCGCGCCCACCCTTTCGTACGGCACGAGGCGGCGCACGCGCTTCTGCCACTCCCGCGGTGCGGCGACCAGTGGCCCGGCCCGGCGCCTCAGTCGTGGCTACCTCGGACGGGCGGGGCGGGGCGGCGAGAACAGCCACGCAGGGAGCACTCCACATTCAAGCTTGCAGGCCGCTTTGCGTTCGAAGGCCGTGGCGCCGAGACGCACCAGCCCCCAAACGTTCCATCCACCCGCCCGTCGTTCCTGGCCCGAGGCACGTGCGCGGCCCAGGGGGGCTGGTGGGGGGCAGGGGACGTGCCAAAATGGGCGGTGCTTAGCGGGGCTTCGCGGGTGGGCAATAAAGGGGGGTGAAGAAAAGTGTGCTTACTCTTCGTGCGCAGTCGGGGTCCACGGGGCCTCTTTATTTTTGGGCCAGCCCACCACGTCGAACGGGCTCCGACTGCCTGGCGGAGCTTCCATGGTAGACCACGATGTCCGCCTGTCAACCTCCTCCCTCCCCCCTCCGTCATCCTCCCTCCTCCTTCCCTCCTCCCTCCCCCCCTGGAGAGCAGCGACGACGCCCGCGACTGCGACGACAATGACGACCACGCCCGCGACGACGACCTCCGAGGAATTCTGGGAGCCTCCAGGAGCCTACGACGCAGACGCAGACGCGCGAGTCCGCTGGCCGGCGGGCCGGCAAGCCCCTTAGGGGCGGCGCGGGCGGGCCGGAGCCGGGTCACAAGCATGTGGACTTCAAGAAATCGCTCTCGAAATCCGCCCAAAATTTGCAAGTTGTAGCACTCTGCAGCCATGTGCCGGGTGCACTTCCAACCAAAGCCATCTGCAATAATTCTGTGATGTCGTCACTCCACCGCTTTCGCTGTCCGCCGTGTCGGCGTCGTGCTGCCCGGAGGTCATGGATATCAGGTTCCCATGCCGCCGCCAGTCGGGCCCAGCTGTGGTGTGGTTGCGTAGCAACTCGCCCAGCCCATCTCCATGTACGCTTGTGAAATATTGCAACCCATTCCTCCGCATGTGTGCGCGTCGCAGGGTCTGAGGCGTTCTGGGTAGCCCTGCGAATGAAATTGTCCCAGCATTCAAAATCGGATTCGTCGTCGGCGTCGTCAAATGTCTAGTGGCTGTCTGACGCTGGACTTGCTGTTGTCACTTGTGCTGTCGTCATGCTGCTCAGTGTCGGGGTTGGTTGTGTTTTCGTCGGTGCTGGCGTGGGGTTGTCTCTGTCGGCGTCTCGAGGTATTGACAATGAGTCGTAACATGCGTCGTTGGGTGCGTCGGAGTGTCAGGAGCATGTCCTTGGTGAGAGTCCACGTTGCGCAGGCATACATGACCATTGGTGTCACCGTCCCGTTGAAGAGCCTGAGCCTGCTGCGAAGGGGGTACCGGCTGTTTGTGAACTCTTTGCGGAACTGGTTGAATTTGCGCCACCCCGTTGCACGTCTGTTGTTTAACCCGGTCTGGTGGAAGTCGTGCAACGTCAGCTCGCGACCAAGATATTTGGTGCTCCCCTCGATGCTGAGGATTTCGACCTTGTCGTCGTTGATGTCCACGTGTGTAATGCATCGCCCCTGTCGCCTGCTAACATTTGTGAAGATGTTCGTTTTGTCGGGGTGCAATGCAAATCCACACTTCGCGGCTTCGTGTTTGAAGTCTCGCAAAATACACTTGAATTGTCGTAGATAGGGTGCGAGGAGGAGTACGTCGTCAACACACCTCAGGTTGGTCAGGCGCGTCGTCTGTGCATTTCCCAATTGTATGCCGACGCCGCGCTCGATGTCGAATTGTCCGCTTCTGACGTCGGTCTTTACCGTGGCTCTTTGGTCGTTGTAGAGATTTTGCAGCAAGGTGATGTAGGATTCAGGCACATCTTGTTTCCTCAGGGCATCCCACAAACACGGGCGGTCGACGCAATCGAAAGCCTTTTTGAAATTCATAGCAGCTGTTCAGAGTGGGAGCTGCCATTCGTAAGACTGCTCGTGAAATGGAGTTGCAGTGAAGAGGTGGTCCTCTGTGTTCAGGCCCTTGCGGAAGCCAGCTTGGTCAGGTGATTGTTGTGCGTCGACAAGCATGTCAAGTCGGTTGCAAAAAAGTCGGGACATGAGTTTGTATAATAGCAGTATGCTGGCGATTGGTCTGTAGTTGCTTGGTAGTTGCGGGTCTCCGGATTTGTAGATTACGCTGATGGTGGTGTGTCACCACTGTTCCGGCGGCGTCTGCTCAAGCGTTACAATGTCGTTGAAGAGCACCAGCACATGCTTCTCAATCGTGCCCACCTTGCTTTCAGCAGCTCCGCGGTGAGCCCAGCCGTGTCCTTGCACTTGCCATTTTTGAAGTGCTTCACTGCTTGGTGCAACTCTTCGTGGGTGAAGGGTGGAATGCTCTGTCGAGGTCGCCGTGCTTCTTTTCCTTGGGCGTCAGGGGTGCTGGTGGGCGTAGGTAATGGTGCGCTTTCAGGGCGCCGGTTCAACTCCTCATAGGAGTCCGCGAAGACGTCTGCTATCCCCTGCCGGTCCGTCTCGTTGGAGCCCTTTGCTGTTGTCATGGCCGGTATGAGGAGCCTACGAAAAACCCTCGAAGACATCCGAAACCGCCGAGAAGCCTCCGTGAGCCTCGGACGCCCCCGAAAACCATCGAAACCATCCGAAAAGTACGAGGGACTGCATGGAACACGAAGGCGAAGATCTTCGAACACCCTGACCTCCAGCGACTCCACATTCTCGAGCCTCGGGCCCCCTATGCCTCTCGACGCTGTGCCTCGGACCGCCGTTTCCTCCGGGGCCGTTTCTTGACAGTCACGGGGTCCGAGGGCGCGCCTCTGGACGCCCCAAACCTAGGAACACTCAAGTCGGGCCTGTCCCCATACAGGGGTATTTTGGGCGAAGAATTAAGAATGCTTTTAAACAGTACACCCCAAATCCTCAAAAATAGGCAAACATTAGTCCCCATACTCATACATACATATATATATATATATATGCATCTATATATATATATATATATATATATATAGATTCTTTGTTTGGATATCCCTCCTGTAGAGGGACAGGCCCGACTTAAAAGGAACACCTGTGACTCGATCTTCTCGAGTCTCTGGAGGTCTGGGAACGCAGAACAGCGTTCGACGATGCTCGACTCGTCGGCAGAGAACGGGCCGGCGGCGCGGGGCGCCTCTGAAGAGGTAGCAACAGACGCCGAGCGTGCAGGCCACGGTAGCCCCACCTCCGCTCCCACGGGCGGCAGCGGTTGGCGGGGGCGGCGGGGGGCAGGGCCCCTCCCTCCCCTCACTCCTGCTGCCTCCTCCCTCCCTCCTCTCCCCCTCGAGCTCCCTCCCTCCGCTCCCCCTCGCTCCTCCTCCTCCTCCTCCTCCTGCTCCTCCTCCTCCTTTTTGTCTTCCTCCTCCTCCTCCTCCTCCTGATCCATTCCCCTGCGCTGCTGCTCCCTCCCTCCCTCCCTCCCTCCCTCCCCCGTCCTCTCCCCCCCTCCTTCTTCCATCTTCCCTCTTCTTCCTCCTCCTCCTCGTCCCTCCTCCCCCTCGCTCCCACTGAGGCAGCGATCAGAGGGAGGCAGGATCGAGGATCGAGAACGTTGAAGGTTTTTCATGCTTTAGAGCCTCCGGAAAGCTCCTCGTCGCCTCGGCCGCACTACCCTGGAAACTCTGGCCAGAACGCATCCAAGGGAAGGCATCCAAGACCAAGAGATGTCCTAAAGGCGACGGTTTTCTCCCGGATCCAAGCCTCGCGTCGTGAAGCAAGTAACAGCTGCTTTGGGGCCCTTGCCAGGCCCCAAGGCTGTGCAGGAAACGGTTCAGGATGAAAAGCCGGTCGGGATTTTGAAGGGGGAGGAGGCAGGACGAGGTTCACTGCCCATAGTCTATGGGCAGTGAACCTCGCTGTGGTTCGCGCGTGGTTGGAGCGTGGTTCGCGCGTGGTTCGATCGTGGCTCGGAGCGTGGTTCGCGCGTGGTTGGATCGTGGTTCGCTCGTGGTTCGCGCGTGGTTGAATCGGTGTTAAGATCGTGGTTCGCCGTTCCGGTTTCCTCCTAATGAGAACTTGTTTGGTGGCCACTCTAATCCATGGAGGGAAGGGAGGAGGAACATCCAGGAAGGGCAACGGCGAAAGGAACAGGAGATCTGGAGGGGGGGTCTTCCAAGGGAATACTCACCAGGATCGAGGAGGAGAAGGGGCAGGAGCGCGGCGCGGGACGGGAGGAGAAAGGGGGAGGAAGAGGCAAGAGGATCGGGTCGGGCGAAAGGGGGGGATAGCAAAGGGGGGGTTTGAGAATCAGCTCACGTAGCTGATTTTTCCGGCGCCTCCCAGCGCCGGAGGCGACGATGTATCGAGGAATGGGCCTCTCGGTGGGGCCGAAACCAGCTGCATGCAGCAAATTTCGTAACCCCCCCTTTCCCAATCCCCCCCTTTCGTCCGGCCCGAGAGGGAGGAGGGTGGGGGAGGAGGGTGGAGGATGGATGAAGAGGAGGACTGCGGAGGGAGGAGGGTGGAGGAGGGAGCAGGCAGAAGGAGAAGGGCCGCGATGAATCAGCCCGTCGCCATGCCACGCCCCCGCTACATTACGAGCGACGCAGTTGGTCCGGCCCGCCTCCGGCCCTCTGTGCACTCTTTCGCATTCTCTCGAAGGGGCCCTGGGACACGCAAACAAATTGACACAAACAACAGGATTCCCCCATAATTTTCCATACGTTCTGGGTTTTCGTCTCCCCCCTCACTTCCCATATTTTCCCATATTTTCCGGTGGATCGACGATCAATTGTGTCTGTGTGCTTTTTCCCCTCCTGATCTCCTACCTCTCCACATCGCAGACATCCTGCCGTGACAGAAGCCTGTGCCGGGGGACGGTGGGTGCACGGGACCGCAGGGCGCTCCGCAGGGCCAGGTCTTCATCCTGCGTCGTTTCGTCTCACGGCCCCGGGTGGAGCCCCCCTCCGAGTAGGGTCCGAATAACTGACTAGATCTCCTCCTCCTCCTCATGTGCTGTGCTAATGGCTGTGGTTCGTAGTGCACGTGCAGCCACCTGTCCTGCCCCTCCACCTCGGCTGAGGGCCCGAGGTGGAGGGGGTGTTCATCAGGTCCGAGGTGGCTGAGGGCCCGAGGCGGCCCGAACTAGATCTCCTCCTCCTCCTCCTCCTCCTCCTCCTCCTCCTCCTCCCGGGATCGGAGGACCGCGCCGTATCTTCGCGCCCCTGGCGGCAGCCGGGAACCTCCGGGACTTTCCTTGCCTCATGCCGAGATAAAACAAGGCTAGGGTCGGGATAAATCGCTCCAGAGCGTTCCGGAGCGCTCTCAGAGCGTTCCAGAACGCTCTGGAGCGGCCGCGGCGCCCAATACATCCTCCAAACCCGCCGATTCTCAGAGATTCCGAGTTATCCCGATCCGATTTTGTCCCGATCTTCGCGTCGTTTTAATTTGTGACCTTCTCTGGGCTGCGGGCCAGTCGGCCCAGCGCGCTGCCGCTGGGCCGCGCCCCGCGCGACGCGCGAGGAGGCCGGGGCAGGCAGCGGAGCACCGGGGGCCACGCGCACCGGGTGGGGAGGAGCAATTTCGATGGAGCCACGCCAGATCAAGTGGCCGTTGGGCGTGGCTTAATGGGGGGTCACAAATGGGGGGGTCAGAAAAGGTTCCCTTTTGTGCCCCTTTCGGGCCCCTCCGGAGCCCCAGGGGGCTCGTTTAGGTACCGTTTGGGTACCTTTTCGGACCACCCGCGACACCCCCCCATTTATGACCCCCCCATTACGCGGCGCCGAAGGCCGTGCGTCGAGTGGCCTGTCGGCAGGCGCTGCACGACGAGTGTATTCACGTTTTTCGCACATCAGGCCTCGCTCACCCAGCAGGAGGAAAAAGAGGAGGGCGAGCAAGATGCCGGGAGGAAGGGAGCAGGGCTCGAACTAAACCGTGTTTTTCTCGTTTTCGTTACGTCTGCGTTTTCCCTCGTTTTGTCTTCGTTCCGCCCTTGCTGCAAAACGAAATCAAAACAAAAATGATCCACGAAGTCGCCGAAGCACAGCTCATGCCAAGAGCTGGAGGGGAGATCCTGGGGGGGAGGGGTGCAGGCCGCTCGGAAAAAGGTCCTGCGGCGTCGTGAGGTAAGAGGGCGGTGGAGCTGGGTTGGGTTTCGGCCCGCCCCCGAACTGGAAGGCAACTTTCGGCTGGCCCCAAGCTGTGTGGTGACCACACCGCTGGCTGAATCAATGAAGACTCGCGATCACTGCTCGGTTTTGGGATTCGGGTCGTTCTCAGAACGCGCCTCGGGCGACCGGGGCCTCCGAGGTCCCACGACCGTGCGGTGACGGAGCGCGCAGTGAGGTCTCTCAAGATTTCGAGGTCGCCGCGCGGTCTGTCAGAACACGGTTTTGTCACCCTCGAAACATGAGGCCCCCTCGATGGGTGAAGTAGGAAGGCACTTGACAATATATTGGGACCTGGGAGCCCAAAACTTGCAACGAACTTCCTGCAATGGGAGCAGGCGGGGGATGGTGGTGGGGGAGTATACGAGAGATATGACATGTCGTTGACGTAGCATGAGAAAACCTGTATCTGGTAGATGAAACATTGATGCGGGCATCTGAACTCCACAAAGGACGGGAACGCCGATCGGAAGAGGTGGACCAAAAAACATTGTGCCATGGAGACCGTAAGCACCCGAACATCCAGAACGGCATTGCCATCGACTTCAACTCCACAACTCATGCGCCTCCTGGCAACTTCGTTTTTCGCCAGAGGAATCGTCGCTCTCAGATTCGTGGACCGATGCACGGCCAAGCCCTCTCAACAATCTAAGCAACCAATCAGCTGTCGTGTTTTCTTCGCACATTGGAGCCCCGCATGTCTCGACCTCTTCCCTGGGACCGTCTTCACATCCGGAACATGTTTTGACCGTCCTGGGCCATGCATGACCCACCATCCCTCTCCAGAAGCCGAACACTGCCAAGAATACGCAGTTTTTTTCTGCATGACATCACGGCGCGCGCGAGGGGGTCTGTGTCCTCCTCCTCGCCCACCCTCCACTCCTGCCGCAAGAATCCCTGCCCCTCCCCCCCTCTCCCTCTGCCTAATTGTTACTACCCTCTTTTCTTCCCTCCTACTCCTCCTCGTCCCTCCTCCGGCTTGCTCGTCCCCCCCAATCCTCGTCCCTCTTCCGGGGGGGGGGGCCTTGCCTCTGCCTGCCTGGTCCTGGCTCGCCCCCACGGCCGCCCGCCAGCCGTGCCCCAAACTGGCCAAGGAGTACCCCTCGGCCAGCGCCCCTGCCCCACCCCAGACGGCTCGCGCGGCCAGCTGCGCCTGCTGCGCTTTCCTTATCTCGCACGCCTGCGGCGCGGGCGGCGTCGCCGTCGCCGTGGTCGTCGGCGGGAGCGCGGTCGGGAATCCACAATTCCCACGTGTCCAAGGATGGCCCATGGTGGGCTTCCTATCGGGGGCCTCCTGAGGCGGAGGCGGAGGCGGAGGCGGAGGCGCAGGAGGAGGAGGAGGAGGAGGAGGAGGCGGAGGCGGAGGCGGAGGCGGAGGCGGAGGCGCCCCCCCCCCCCGTCCCCCGACTTCGGCCATGCCGCCATGGCGCCGCCGTGCAGCTGACCTCTGCGCTTCAGAGCATGCATCCCTCGGCGGCGATCCCAAAAGGGGGACGTGATAGGAAGCAGGCCTTCTCAGGAGGCGGCGGGGCTTCTCAGAAACCCTCGCGCCTTGTGGGAAGCCTGTGGCTTCGGAGGCTCGCAAGGCTTCTCGGGAGGCGCGATGGTTTGTGAGAAGCCCCGCCGCCTTCTGAGAAAACCTGCCTCTTATCCCCCCCGGTATTCGGATGCGGAACAGGGGGTCGCTCTCCAAACAGCGGCGGAAAAGACGGCAACCACAATCACACAGAGAGGGATTCTCCCCAATTGCTCGCGACCGTTAGCATTTCAGCCTCAAGCCGGCTCGAAGTATTATGGGGGACCGATCTGGGAGCAACGAGAGCACCGGCGCGATCCACCTCAGCAGTGACGGAACTGCGCGCAACTCGTCCACGCTTGTGACTTTTGCCTCGCAGCAGTGAGATTCGACCGAGAATGCCTGACGCAAGGGTGTGATCATCCCAGAGTATCAAGAAACCGCCCTGGCTACCGATCTCCATCAACGGTGGGTCCACTCGTCGTTGTCCACGCGAGCCTGCTTGGAGAAGCTGGGCTGCCTCTGAGACTCGCAACTGCGTGCCGCTGCAGCAACAACCGCTGATCTCATATCCGTCGCGCGCTGCTCCTTCGGGTGGCGGTCCTGCGCGTCGTTCTGCTCGTGGATCTCGTTGTGGTCCGCGGCCCCCGTCTCGTGCTCGCCCATCTGGCCTTCCAAGCTCCCCGTCGTGTTCCCCGGGCGTCTCGTGGCCCGCGTCCGGGACGTTGCCCATGGGCGCGTTCTCCTTGATCATGAAGGCGGCAGCTCTTTCCATGATCTCCATCTGCTCTCGCGCCGAAATCCCTGGCGCCTCGTCGGGCGAGGCTCGACGCGCCACCGCGGGGTCGCACTGCGTCGAAAAACCGCCGTCGGAAACGTAGATGGCGTGCTCTCGACGCCGATCACGACCGATGGTCCATGGCCAGACTTGAATGCGGAACTGGGTCGCTTCCTCCTGCTTTCGCGATGAAGATGCACCGTGTCGCCGAGCTTCGCGCCCCTGCTCGGTGGAACCCATGGGCCCCTCGCAAGCAGAGATCGCCTCGGCCTCTTGCTCAAGCCGATCTTGGCCGTGCTGTATGCCTGCGGCCTCTTCGCCACGTCGTCTCGAGTGTCGGCCAGATCCTAAGATGCGAGCTGCGAACGGGCCCCGTTATCAAGGAGCCCCCACGGCAGCCTCTGAGCTTGTCCCAACGCCAGCGGTGCTGGGCTGTCGTTGATTTGCGTTTTCTTGGCCCAGGAAATCATGGTGGTGGCCGCGACGATCTCGTCTTCGATCTCGATGTCGGCGTCGGTGATGACAGCCTCCCACATCTCCCAATCACCTCCAGCGCGCTCGCGCATTCCGTTCCGCTGCGGGGCCTTCGCCGCCGTGCAGAACACCCGCGTGCCATTGCCTCCAGAAGCGGGCTAATCTCCGCATGGGCCCCCCGCCGTCATCGTCCACGCCGCTCGCCAGGGCTCTTGCTTGACTGATCCAGCAACCGACGCTCCAACGCTGCCGCGACATGATGCGGGCTCTGGCACCGTTGCCACCAAAGTGAAGGCCGTCTTGATGTCCAACGCGTCCAGTATTTCCACGGCAACGTCCGACTCCGCGTGCGCCGCGAACAAATCGATTACCATCTTATTGACGAGATGCGTCACTGAGATACTTCAACCGGGCGGGGTACTTGATAGCTCTAAATCCGGTTCGGCTGAGCTCCGCGCAAATCCAACGCCTCCTCGCCGGCGCCGCCGCGCCGTAGCGTGCGCCGGAACTGCGCCTGAAGCGGGGGGCTCGAGTTTCGGCGAAGCCGCGTCGCCGCGCTGCGGAATTCTATCGGGGCGTACTTGGTGTTCGTCGCCGTGACTTCTCCTTCGCATGTTTCCTGATCTTCCTCGTCTGCCTCGTCGCGAATGCCGTCATCTAAGTCATCGTCGTCGCCGTCCAGAACATGCTCTTTAGCGAGCGGCGCCCCCTTCGTCGCATGGATCTCCAACCGCGCGCCCGCGATTGCACTCGCCGACAGCTTCGGGCACGGCCCAGTCCGCGCAGTGACCTTGCTGCCGAATATACAAATGGGCAACGCCGCTCATGATTGTGTCGTTTGTTCAAGTGGTTCGTGAACTCCGCTTGCGACGCGAGCAGAATTGTCGGCGCCCCGTGTAGCTCGCCTCTCTGCGATTTGAGTCCAGACCAACTTAGGTCCAGCGCTTCCCGGGGGCGCTTTGCCGCGGCCCTCAAGGCTGGTTCCACCGTGGCTCCTGTGCAAGTCTACTACTTGGCTCGTGGACTTGAAGAATTGGCGATCCCGGTCCTTGCACTTCCTCGCGTGGCACTCGGCGCGCGAAGTGACCCTATGCGGTTCGAAGGCGATCGCCGGCAGCCTGGGTTTCGCGCGACTGACCTCTCGAAAAGCTTTCAACCTTCCAGCGGTGCCCCAAAAATTCGTGCCGAACTCGACCAAAGTGCTCTACAGCCTCGGCAGCCCGCGCTTCTTTGCCCCCTCGCGCGCGCCCTCGCTGGTCATGGAGAGCTCCTGCGCGTAAGGGTTCGCGCCCGCGGTCTCCTCCGTTGGGGCCCTCGCACTCGGCCTCGCGAAAAATTAAAGAGGCCGCCCGCGGCGCTCGGGAACTCCGTCGGGTTCGCCTCGCTCGATCAGGTCTGGGCCCACCAGCCGAGATCATGGCGTCTCGATTCGTTTCCTCACCTTCATGGGGCGCGCGAACCTTGCGCGACGCCTCCTCCGTCGGACAGGCCGCGGCCGGCGGGCCCGCGCCCTTGCAGAGACCCATCATCAGCATCGAGCCGACTAGCCACATCGACAGATGCCGACCTCGCCGCCTATGGGCGCCGCGACCGAAAACGAGCGGGGACGACCGACCCCCGCATCCGAGTCCGCGTCCGCCACCTGCCGTCGACGCAACAGGAGGGCGCGCAGGGTTCGAGCCCCAGGCAGTCGCAATCGCTCCAGCGCCACGTCTCGCACGGTTCCAGCTTCCTTCGCAACGTAGACGCGACTTGTCTTCGAAGTGGGGCCATGGCGTCTTGCGGGGCCTGCGATGGCTGGGCCCTGTCGCGCGATTGGCTAGTCCCTCGTCCTGCTTCTGACTAAATATGTAGGTATCCTTCTCCTGCTCTGGCATTGTCAACTGCCCGACCTCCCAGGGCAGCGGTGCCTTGCGAGTGCTCGTGTGCTCCGCCAGCTGGGCCCCGTTGCGATGGCCAGTGGAAGGCGGCGCCTTCGCGTTGCCCCGCCCCGGCGCGTCGGGGAGGCCCACCTCGGCAAAGGCGCGGCGGCCGCCCTCGATTTCGCCACTATCGCGACCTAGCCCCGAGACGCCGCGGCGCCCCCCTCGATTCGCGCGCGCCGCCTTCGCGCGGCGGCGCGGGCGGTTCGTCCGAATGTCTTTTCGTCGTCATCCTCGCAGCGTTCTGCCGCGGCATGCGTCCACTCTCCTCGTGCAGACTGACGTGCTTCTCTGCCTTCGCCGCGTGGCTCTGCTCCCGCGCTTCGCCGTCCTCGCGCGCGAACAGCGCCTCGGCGTGCCGGGGGCCGAGCAAGGTCTCCTCCCGTCGCGGTCGCCAGCATGCTCTTCAGATGCTCGATGCGTCCTGCCTTGTCTATGGGCTAGCGCCGGGCAGTATCGGAGGCGGCAAAGAGGGGGGAAGTGCTGCGCGCAGCTCGCAGGGCTACGCGCGCGGGAGCGCAATCGGACATCGTAGAAGCCCGCTGACCGCCAGAAACATCGGTTCCGAACCGAAGCCAGCCAGCCAGCCAGCCAGCCAGATTGCGGCCCAGTCGCGAGCGGCACGAACGTACGCCAATCGTAACACAACCAGAGGGCAGTCGCTACGAACTGAATTCAAAACGAGCGCGCGCATAAGTCGATTTTTGAAGCGTTATTGGGCGTGCCGCCCGCCCGACCTAAGCGCGACGTCGCGAACCCAGGGCCCTGAGATTCCGAGCATTCCGTAGCCGAGGAAGCCGCGGGCCACGAAGCGCCCCAGGGGCCGCGGGAACGAAATGGCAGCCAGGGAAGGGGGTGGGGCGACAAGAGGGGGGGGGCAGGAGGGAGAGGCGGGATGGAAGCGGGGAAAGGGAGAATCTGGAAAGTGCGCATGTGCGTCGGTGAACGGCGTGACCTGGCCATGTGTTTTCGCAGAACTCATGCCCGCGCAAATCCCATATGGATCTTGATATTGTTTTTGATTGTGACTCTGGGCGCAGAAGGGATTTCTGGATCCTTGGCATGCGTTCTCGCGGATCTCCCGGCCAGTGGCAGGTGTTCCTTGCAAACTCGCGTCCGCGCCATGTGCGCTCTGGGAATTTCATGGCCAGTGCCATGTGTTGTCTCGGAACCCATGGTCGTTGCCATTTGGTCTCATGGCCAATGTCATGCGTGCTCTCGGAACTCATGGCCGTGGCCAGATGTTCCCGGCAAGCTCGGGTCCGTGCCATGCGTTCTTCGGGAATGTCATGGCCAGCGTCATGTGTTCTCTCGGAATTCGAGGCCAACGAGCGGATTGGGCGCCACCATTTGACACCGCAGCGTTTTCGCGATCGGCCCCGTCGCAAAAGTGCCGCGGCGCCGCGAGCCGCGGCATCGCGGGGACGCGCGGCCAAGGAGGTCACGGGCCAAAATACCGAGAAACCACGAGCCGCCACCGGACCATGGAG